GCCCTTTGCCTCCAACCGCCAGGCTCCATATGCACACATTTAATGATCCAATGAATAAACTCAATTCCCATCTGAAAACATTGCGGTTTGTGAACACTGTTTCACGTTCAAGTCAAGTCAAGTCAAATTTATTTGTACAGCGCTTTTCACGATACAAATCATTGCAAAGCAACTTTACAGCAAATTAAGTTTCTACAATATTTAGTGGTAGCTTATCAGTGGTGACTGTCAATTAATGTACATATGGCAAAAATGCACGGAAAAATCAATTAAAGACTTAATAAAACAGACGATGAACACTATTAACAGCAATTATTATATCATGCAATCAAACTTATAGCAAAATGTGGTAGTTTTCTATATGTTGTTTCAGGGTTGGCATCATCTGAGGTCCTCTGAGGGGTTGGCATCATCTCTTCTCAGGTGTTCTGGATCCAGACCGAAGCTTGTGTAAATCCTAGTTACCACGTGATGTCAATCCCGTGGCAAAAACAGAGAAACAAGTAGAGACATAATGTGGGTACAGGATCTAATAGGCATGTTGTTGGTTTAGATGCAGTGATAAGTTTATTTACCTCTTCTTGTCCTATAGTTGTAAAGCACTGCAGTTTATCTTTTGGTGCGATGAATGAAGCTGAAGTATTATACGCTGTAGAATCTACATTTGTTATTGTATTTCTGATGTTATCTATTTTATCAGTGAAGAAATTCATAAAGTCATTACTATTAAACTGTGCGTGAATATTTAGATCGGGTGGCGTCTGGTTATTTGTTAATCTAGCCACTGTGCTAAATAAAAACCTAGGATTGTTTTGGTTATTTTCTATGAGTTTGTGGATATGCTCGGCCCTGGCAGCTTTTAGAGCCTGTCTATAGCTGGACATACTGTTTTTCCACGCAATTCTAAAAACTTCCAAGTTAGTTTTTTTCCATTTGCCCTCAAAACGACGAGTTTTTTTCTTGAGAGAATGGGTATTACTGTTGTACCATGGCACAGTACGTTTTTCTCTAAGTTCATGTGTACTTGTTGGTACACAGAGCAGTTGAGATAAATCAGGCAGGTTATTTGTGAATCTGTCTTTGGTGGCTGGAACAATAGTTCTGCCCTGATGATAACATTACGTTCACATTAATAGCAGACACTGTGTACATGCTTCGACAGGCCATGATCTTTTTCATAAACTATCTGTGAATCCAAACAAAATGTTTGACCATTGGGCAAATACATTGTGGACACTTCAAACAATTACAGTAATTAACATGCGGGGCTGCATCTTCTTGTTTAAACTGATGAACCACATAAGCATTCGGTGTGTGTCCCAATTAATTTCTATCTATCTATCTATCTACAGTGCAAGTTTAATATCTGTATATCTTCTACTCTAACTGTATTTTTATTGCTGCAACTCTCTTGCTCTAGATGCATAAATAGCATTCCATCAGGAGATCCACATGGACATGATAAAAAACTTTATTATTCATCATTCCTCTAATTAAGAGAGTTCGTTAACTCACTCTCTGGGCCCTGGGGGGGTTATTTTGCTGATGAACACATAAGTAGTATGCAATGGAAATGCCAATTAACTCCATTTACGCTTCCAGACACTCTACCCCTGCATAAAGACAGCCTGCAATAAAAATACCTCAACAGAAAGACAAATTCCTCATATTACCAGTAAGATATAGGCCTACCATCCAAACACAAATGTGAGAAAAGAAATCACTCTCATGCACACATATATGCATGAAATGTGCAGTAGTCTACATGTAATGGGCAAAATAAATACAAACATGGTCATTTAACACTGAAAACCTATGGAGCTGCAAAGGTGAGTCACACACTAGGTTGATTGTTACTTTGCAGTATGTGTCAGCTATAAAGGAGATCTGAATGTTAGCATTTTAATACTTGAGCCTTCAAAGCAATACCAGGCACATAACATAGTGCCAGTGAGGCTGAATAGCCTGTGCTTAAATTACAGGTGCATCAGTCACAAAGCTATCAAATTACTTAAAATGTCAAGGAGAACATCTCAGAAATAACAACAATATGCCAGACATGCACCAGTGGCATCAGTGACATAGAATAGCGACTGAAAGTTGGCACTTACTGACAGAGGCGGCCTTCACAGCATGATTGCTAAATGCCACAAAAGTACGGCTTAAATAAAACTCACAGAATTGAATTGGCACCTCTGTGTCCCAGAAGAACATACAAAGTTAAGTTTCACAAAGGAAGATTTTACAAAGCTGCAGCTCAAAAAATGCTTGTAAAGCCAGTATATGAGGAGCACAAAACCCACAAAAGAAATTTGGTTTGATGAGTGACCTTTCACTCTGTTACCTACATCCAGACAGGCTTAATGTTTGGAGAAAGCCAAACCCACTTGTTAAACTTGGTCATGGTCAAATAATTGTATGGGATAATAGATCTTATGAAGGTCATTAGGTCTCATGATTCCACAGGATTGTTGTATAACAGCCCAGGAATATTAGATTTTAGAAGACCATATACCCTCAATGTTGCAGACATCTTTCCCTCTTTATATTCCCACTTGTATTAAAGTTGACACATCATTTCCACCTTCATTACTCAAAGAATTACCCTCTTAAATAGTGCAATTTCACACTACACACAGTTTAGGACGTGTTAAACAGAATTCAAGAAGAAACGAAGCCATTGCCAAGGCAAAGAGTGGTCCTGCCCTTTATGAGGACCTTGATGTTTCTGTTACTTAACCCTATAATAAACAAATTACTTAACAACAATTAAATGATTCATTATAAGTAAGAGCTTCCGACTACTTGCAAGAATACATACAAAAAATCAACAAAACTCCAAAATAAAGGTTCCAAAAGGTATTTTTTCTGCAGTGATGCCTTTGAAGAACCATTCTGAGTTCCTCAAAGAACCTTTTAATGAACATTCTAACAGAATCATTTTTTTTTCTTAGTGTGAAGAACATTTCTTAAATAACCTTTTTCCACTACAAAGAACCTTTTGTGAAATGGAATCCATGGGTTCCATGGATATTAAAGGTTCTTCATGGAACCATCGATGCCAATAAAGAATCTTTATTTTTAATAGGGTGGCATTCAGAATTGCCCACCCAGACAACACTGTAAAATGTTTTGTAAAAAGGTTATGCACACTGACAATGTGCCATGTTGTAATATCTAAATCGATTGGTCTAATTCAAGTCAAAAATATTATTTAAGATGACTGAATATTAGGTTGCACCAATACATTAAATTTTTAGTGTCAGATCAGAAAAAGAAAATTAATATCAGTAACAACTGCACATTTTCACTCTTTACAATGCATGAAGCACATACTGACACTCATGCATAACATACATTTCAATCAAATTCACAACTGTAGCACAATACCCCAGATTATGTTTTACATCAATATTCACAACAATCAAAACCACTCAACCGCCACCCTCTCCTCTTCATCTGCCTCTCTTTTTTATAGTGTTCCTCAACCATTTTTCCCCCCAGGGTTCCTGTTGCAGGACCCTCAAACACTGCAGAATTTAGATGTCTCCTTTATTTGACATAAAGCATTTTACTGATCAATGATCAATGAAAACAAGCGTTTTATCCAATAGTGTAGTGTTGAGGCCCTCCAAGACCTGGATCAAGAAATATTGAATGATATAAGTGTTTCTCAACCCTGTTCCTGAAAAATACATATTTTGGATGGCTTTCCTGTCTCCCTTATCCTAATCTCAACATAAAAATATACAGTGAAGAAGGTAGAAGTATTACATTATGTCATTTTAGGGACTACACAATTTACATTTCCTATTTTTATGCTGTTAAATTATATAATGTTAAAATACCAATGTATTTGAGTTCAAAATTACTGCAAAATGTACTGATAACAACAGCTGATACAATGGAAGCCCACATGATCACCCACAATGTAAAACTGTTGTTTATACTCACTGGAGTGTGTTTTACAAGAAAATACTATTTCAGTCTTTATAATTCCAAATTTCACATTTAATTCAATGTGTTACTTTTCCCGATACTTTGTAATTATTTGTGATATGTACTATTCATTTCTGAATTTCTGCAATTTTCTTCAGTGCACATGCAACCCGACTATGATGCTATAAACTAAACATCATACATTTTTAAATAATAATAATAGTTCAAATTAAAAAGTAATAAAATGCATCTTTGATGGATCACACAGGGAATTTAATTTTTAAAAAATATATATTTCACTGCAAAACAGCCTATGCGTGGTCTTCAATATAATAAAAATAAATCTCTTTAAATAAGGTAATTAAGATTTATTAAGACTCATTAATAAACGTTTACAATTTTACAGTGGGGAAAAAAAGAAAAAGAAAAAGAAAGAAAAACAAAGTTCAACAAGGAGAGGAGCTTGCACACATAATGGTAGACACGGCTCAAAAAAATACTTTATTTAAAGGCCAAAAATAAAAAGAGCTCAGTGCAAAAACAAAACATTTTCGATTCAAACAATTTTAACAGCAAAATGATATGTATTGTCTTTTAAATATGTCAATTATTTACATAATATAATTAAGATAAATTACAACTTTAACTTTTTTTTCCTTCTTTTCATTGTACCCATTTTAGGTCTTGGAGCAGTCATCCAAAATGTGCAGTACTGGTGCTCCCACAGAACCCGGATCGAGAAACACTGCTCTACATCAGCTGTCATCTGTTTCAGCACCGCGGACAGCGACCATCCAAACGCAAGACTCGAGAACACTAGCCCTCAAAAACACTTCAGGTCAACTTGTCCCTCAATTACGCTGCAGGGCCCATTGCAACCACGTTTTAGTGGGATTTCTACACTGCATCAGCTAAACTGCTGTTTCTGAGCACCGCGTCTGTGAGTGGTGGCTCGAAACTGCAAAGCAACCTCATAAAGACACATTCAATGAAATTGTTTCACTGTAAGGTAGATGCGACCCCTGACGAGAACAATTACTGCACACAATTATATTACTTACTGCGTCGTGCAGGCTCTTTTGGGTACGGTCTGTGGAGATGGTCCTTGAGGGATGCTTGATATAGCCACTCTGTGTGTGTGTGCGTCCTAGTAAGACGACAGGTAAATAAATATGCTCTTTTAATTGCTCGCGCTAGGCGTTCACTACGCACAGCTTCGTATTAAACTTCTGTCTCCGTGCGCGTAAAATTGCTCTTGTACGATTAATATTGCGTGCGTCGCTTGTGTGCGAGATTAACCTTGCACAATTGCTTTTAAATGTTCAGGTGATTAAATAACAGTCGAATGCTTTTTAAATAAAAAATTATAATAATCAGAAAACAAGCTATTCAGTTGTGCTTCGCGTAAATGTATTGCTCGATTACAACGACTGACAACAAATACAAACAAATCGCACACGCAATTACTTACTGCGTCGTGCAGGCTCTTTTGGGTACGGTCTGTGGAGATGGTCCTTGAGGGATGCTTGATATAGCCACTCTGTGTGTGTGTGCGTCCTAGTAAGACGACAGGTAAATAAATATGCTCTTTTAATTGCTCGCGCTAGGCGTTCACTACGCACAGCTTCGTATTAAACTTCATCCGCCTGCGCGTGAAATTGCTCTTGTACGATTAATATTGCGTGCGTCGCTTGTGTGCGAGATTAACCTTGCACAATTGCTTTTAAATGTTCAGGTGATTAAATAACAGTCGAATGCTTTTTAAATAAAAAAATTATAATAATCAGAAAACAAGCTATTCAGTTGTGCTTCGCGTAAATGTATTGCTCGATTACAACGACTGACAACAAATACAAACAAATCGCACACGCAAAAAAAAAAGAAGCGATTGTGATTGACGTAAACGTTGACACACTACTGTTTACACACCTCCGACGGACTGTCGTTTTTCGCTAATCGTACGAACATCAGACGCTTGCGTACTTGCCACGATTCCGTCGCCTAAAAGACTTGCAGGTAAAAAATAAATACCAAATATCGATGGGAATTAAACGGCTCATGAGAGTATCCTCTGTGGAAGCCAGTCAGGACTGAATATATATATGATGTAATATCGGCAACAACAAAAAAAGAAACACGGTAGCTGCACACGGACGACGGACGACGACGACTCTGCTTCCTCGCGCTCTCGGTAACGTTACTGTCCCTCGCTCGCTCGCGACGTCACAGGGCAGTGCGCCTCTCTCTCATCTGCAGTCTGTAGTGTGCAGTCTGTAGTGTGCAGTCTGTACACTACATGAAGACACCGCCGGTGAATAGAGTGGGAATTAAAGCGCTCATTGGCTGATGGAAAGACAGATGGTGCGCTCATATCCCAGATAAATAGTGCAGACCTCCTCCCTGCGCAGGGTGCATGAGCCAATGGAAGCCCGTGGTCTCCAGATCTCCTCTTCTAGTGAAGTGTCACTTTGATGTATGTACACTCTAAAAAAATGCTGGGTTGTTTTAACCCAACGTTGGGTCAAATATGGACTAACCAAACTGTTGGGTTACATTTTTCAATTACATTTTTAACCCAAAAACTGGGTTAGTCCATATTTGACCCAACGTTGGGTTAAAACAGCCCAGCATTTTTTAGAGTGTAGTAATCCTTTCATTGGGTTATATTTATTCGTCGACTGGAGCATCTTCTTTTGTGAGGAACGAAGCTGATTTGCTGGCTTTTTTTATAACGGGTTTCGAACACTTTTTAGCTGGTTGAACACCGTGGCGTATCCAGGTTGGGAGAGCATAAACCAGTTATGACAAGTAAACCATCTTAGGCTGGTTTAAGATATTTTTTTTTAGCTGGGTTGGTGCTTCAATGGTCACTTCCTGGACGACTACGCATTATTACAGTGCTTTCAAGGCAGCATTGTATTCCCTACAGGAAAAAAACAGCTCAAGCTTGTATTAACTGGCAGCGGTAATAAACAACAACTTATATGCTGCTTAATAGCTTATTTAAAATATAACTTACTTATAAATTCACTTATTGACTTTTTATTTCGTTAAATACCATCACATTTCCCCTGTTCTGGCCTTTAGATCTTGCTCCAAATTTTGAGCCTGCACTTTTGAAGCAATCTATGAACAACTGAGAGATTTTACCACAATTATCTGTTCTTTGCACTCAATAATTTGACATTTAAAGATGATATATTATATTAGTTTATTTAAATAAGTTTATATTTTTCAGCTGTGTTAAGCAAGTGCACACATTCACTCTACAACATCTACAAATTTACCATCTGATCTACAGATAGATTCATTAGCCAGTTCTTATAAACAAGATAAGTATATTTATTATTACATTTTGCAGACAATTCTGATTAAAAGATTTGTTGGAAAATTTAGTTTGAAGTTGATATTCAAGCATTCTGTTTTACTTTTACTGTTTTACTACTGCTGCTGCAAGATTTTAAAGCTAAACTAGTTAACATGCTGTTTTATTAAATGTATTGAATATTACATTAATGTATATATAACATATAATATGTTTCAGTGTGTGTGTGTGTGTGTGTCTGTATATAGATAGATATACACATACATACTGAAAAATGTTGGTATAGAAATGATTTTTACTCAGAAAATGCTGGTATCACAATTACAAATAAACAAGTAACACATTGAATTAAACATTAAATTTTAAAGTAGAAAAACTAAAATGAGTACAATTCAATAATCGGAGTTTTATTTACATCTTTTTTTTTTTACTACAGTACGCACATGTATATTTGCATGCAGATTTGCACCGGCCTTCTTTCTATTTGCATATTAAATTTTGTAATTGATTATTTCTGCCAAGGTTTTGTTATGTGACAACAGCAAAGCATCATAACTAAAGCCTATAAACCTAAGCTTATCTACAACTAAAGCTATTCAGTTTGTTGTCCTATTACCCAGTTGGAAATGAGCATTTTTGAGCCATGGATTCTCTAAGGAATTGTCAGTGGGTTTTGAGAATGACAATTTACAACAAAATTAGGGCCGTGGTTTATATTGTTTTGAGGAGATGTTTTGATCTACAACATAAATTCCATATTAGAAAAACATTTTTAAGACATTGTATTCTTAATAAACTATAAGTCTTTTTGTAGCAACTGCTTCGGAATTTAAAAAAAAAAGTCTTTCTAAGTTTTTTCAACACACATTATTTTATTCATAATCCTATAACTATTCTTAAAAACCTAAGAAATTCCCAAGGGAACCAGTGGTGAATTATCCTGCTGGATTGGCCTACAAATCGACATAATGACCGAACAGCTATTCTCTCTTTTCATTTTCTTGAAGAAACAAAGTTAGTTCCCAGTTTCTTGTTTTGAGCTTGGGAATGGAAGAGTTCCACTGTGAGAGTGCTGCTCTAAATCCTGTGTCTCTGTTCTTGGCAGTAGAAGCTGAGAGGATGAGTCATGCTGGTTGAAAATGATATCTCACTATTCGATGAGAGCAGCATTTATCATGTGAGTGAGGGTGCAGGCAAACATTTAATCATAGACCTAGTCCATTAGGATGTCAACACCTCAGCAGTCTCTTTCCCACAAAGTCAATAATGATCTTTTAAACTTTCTGATTTGCTGAGAAGAAATGTGACGCAATTTTCATGTTTACAACCACCTGTGGTGCACCAGAGTAATCAAATGGATTACCATACGTACACCCACACCACTGCCTCATCTCATTTCATCAGAGGATCACTCTCAAACTCTTCTGAGCATTAGTTCTGTGCTCTCCCATTAGACGGAAGGGAAACTGGACAGTGTGCAGTGGGCTGCAGTAATTACTCATACAGACGCTGTCATATTCATGACAATAGATTGTCCTTGCTTAGCGCAAACAGAGGAATACAGTAGGATAGGGAGCACTTCATCATTCCCCTCTGCAAATGTTTTTTTGCAGACACTTTCAAGGAGCTTTCATTTACATATACAACGGCATGCGGTGGAGGCAAATCATTTACATCAGTCCATAAGCACTATAGTTTCACCGTAGGGGATGTGTATTCTAACAAGAGGTGCTGTTTCCACATTACCATTCATCTGGAAGAGCCACATGTATCTCTCTCTGCAGTATTGGTTTACGTGGCTATGAATAATTTGAAGTATTCATTTGAAGCAATTATTTTTAGTGGTGCTTGCATATCTCAAAATGTGTGCTATTACTTTCCTAAGTGGTTAGATTTATACCATTTTGACCAGTGGATGTTAAAGTGGGGAAAAACAGATGTACAGATTTACACTGAAAGAGCAATATCTGGAGACAGGAATATGACAAGAATAACATTCAGAATGTTAAAAATCTAGTTAGTATATAATATATTCTTATATTAATACCTTACATTATAGTGAGAGAGAACGGCCAATGGATGGGAGGAATGGAACAATTAACAGAATAACCGAATGAGAGACAGAATGACATAGAGAACGACAGATAGATAGAACTACAGATATTAAGTTACTGTTTATAAGGTTTGAGAAGAATGACTGTCTAGATTTGCCTAGTTCCACATTGAAAGCACGAAAGTCTTGAAAAGAATTTCAAGTTTCATCTTCCGCCACATCCGCTCAGCTTTTCTGCATTGTCTTTTCATACTCTGAACTGCTGTTGATTTTCTCCAAGCTGATTTCTGTCTGCCAGTCTTCTTGCTGACTTTCACAGGAGCAATGTCATCAATAGCATTCATAACTTTTGAGTTAAAGGAATCAAGGAGAAGATCTACAGAGTCTGCAGAAATGCTTGGTGTTAAAGATATAGCCTCCATAAATAGCACACTAGTGTTTTTGTTAATGCATCTCTTTCTGACAGAGACAGATCTAGATTCAGTGGTAGCAGAGATCAATATATCAAAGAAAATACAGAAGTGATCAGATAGTGCTACGTCCTTAATAACAATGGATGAAATGTTTAGACCTCTACTGATGATTCAATCTAGAGTATGTCCACGATTGTGTGTAAGTTCATGCTGAATCAGGTCAAAAGTGTTTAAAACGGTTATAATTTCTTTTGTAGTTTTGTTTTCTGCTTTATCTATGTGAATATTAAATTAAAATTCAATAGCAAATATTCAAAACCCTGCAATAGCAAAACAGTCAAACGCTGAGGAAATCATTGATAGCATTTCTGTGAACTCTTCAACAAAGGCTGGAGAGTATTTTGGAGGCCTGTAAATAATGATAAACAGAATGCGTGGAGCACCTTTCAACACAATCCCTAGATATTCAAAAGACAAGTACTGACCAAATGACACTTGCTTGCATTGATAGACATCTTTAAATAGAGCAGCTACACCTCCACCGCTCCTAACAGTCCTGCAAACACGCATGAATGTAAAGTTAGGAGGGGCTGTTTCATTGAGGACCGTTGCACTGCAGCTATTTTCTAGCCAGGTTTCATGTAGAAACATAAAATCCAGATTG